CTGGAGAGGTCACTCCAACGATGCTTAACATCTTCAACACAACACAGGAAGCAGCAGTCACTTTACAGTCACAGCAGATGCTGTTCCCAGAGCCAGCGGCACATCTCCAAACTCCCCAGGGACTGACGGATGCCATTACTTCATCCTGTGTCAGGAGGGGTGACAAGACTACAGTGTACTCAAATATACAATCTGCTCTCTGAGCAGTTTCACATGGTGAAGGACTTTCTATCCCTGAACCTCTGAAATGCATTTCCATTGAAGAGTTTGCCTCTGAGAAAGAGTTGAACCGAACTGACATCACAGCACTCTGGGCATTCCCTTTGCATGCTCCGTCCTCATCTTCAGCAGCCAGCACAGAGTTCAAATACTGATGGTACCGGTCACAATCTGGTTATATGTCTGTCTAGTCTTTCCTCTGAGTGTAGTGAGCCAGCCAGACCCTCTGGTTACACAAAGGTGCCTCATTCTTTCCAGGCCACAATAATCTTGTTTCTCTACTGATTCCGTTGCTTGTTCCCAAAGGGCCTTGACCACAGCTGCCTTGTCATGTATCAATTCCCCACCCAGTGGTGCAGATCCAGCCAATATTTCTGCCTGTTCATTACCCACTACACCAGCATGGCTTAGAGAAAAGATCCAAAGTGTGCTCCCTCCCCGTGACGCTTGCCACTCTGCTCGAGGCATCCCTGTCTTCACCTTTCTCATCATGCCTTCAGAGTCTGCTACATTTATGACATGTGCATGCATCTTGTTCTCTAGCCACCGGAGAGCTGCAGTTACCGCCTCCACCTCTGAGAGAGAAGGACCTATCAAGGGTTGAGCTGTGATCAAGGGCGCTGGTAGCAGTGGTCATAAAGCTAGGACCTTCTATGTGTTAATCTTAACTCTTTTCCAGCGATAACCAATTATAACTCAACACAGTATTTATTTATTTATTCATTTTTGTATAACTGCTACAGAGAACAGAATGGCAGCCCCCAGTGTGGGTTCCGGGGCCCCATTGTGGGGAAAACAAGAATAGACCCACTGCCTCCCCAAAAGCATGTCGTAAGAGTCGACTAATTGGGGAGCTTCCTTTGAAGTCGGAGTGCATCTGCCGGAGAGGCAAGGAACCAACAGTCTGTATTTAAAAGAATGAGATCTGTAAAACTGATGCACATGCAACACTCAGGTTGTGGAGCAGGACTGCAGTTCAGTAGTGGACGAGCAACCAGAACTTTCTGCCAGAGTGTACAGCTGGTGAACGCGAAGAAGAAGAAGAAGAATGGCAGAAAATCAAATAGTTTGCATACTTAGTCAGAATGGCTTGTCATATCATATCATATAAGGCATACACTAAAAGAGGAGAAAAATGATTAGCATGAGGTAGACCATTTCATGGAAACAAAAGCTATCAAATACAGAGGTACTGAGGAAATTGGGAATGAAAAGAGAGTTGCTAGGTGAAAAAAAAGAAAGAGACAAGTGAAATATTTTGGCCACATTAAAAGACATAACAGTATTGTAAAGATCATCCTAGACGGAAAGGTTCAGGGTAGGCGAGCAAGAGGCAGACAGCGTTACAAGTGGGAGGATAACATCAAGAGATGGACGAACAGCAGTATGAGTGAGTGTACATCAAGGGCAAGAGACAGAGCTTGTTGGAGATCCATTGCAGCCAACCTTCATTGTGGAGACGGAACCTGATTGATTGATTGAGACCATTAGAGAAACTCTATAACAGCACAATGTGTCTACAGTCAAAGCAGTCAGAACTGCGAGAAGCAGAATCTCATATCTCCATCCAGAAGAAGTCAGATACCATGTTAGCATTCACTATGTGATGTGTTAGGGCAGTCTATCCTATCTGGTAGCCTGCAGACCCCCAGGGGGTCTACAGAATAAATTTAAGGGGTCATGGTATCATTTACACATAAAAACTTCCTTTAGAAAGCAAATTTTTGGGATTGTAATATTTACAGACTATAATTTCTTCATTATGACTATTAAAAAGTATGCGGTCTACGGCAGGCTTTAAAAAAAAAAAAAAGGCCTACAGGTCTTCGAATACATACTGAACTGATAATCACCCCCACTCTTGCCCCCATGACCTGGACTACCAGAGTGACCCAGCCTTAAATTGGTGTCAGGTAAAGTCATGGGAAATAAAGGTGGCCGGTATGATGCTGACCATAACATCCATCCCCTGCCGATTGCTCAATGAAATATATAGGTCTAGCACTGTATAACTTCTTCTCTTCCACCTTGTGAGCGAGGTGTCAGGGGGAGATGTAACATTCGTTGATGAGCTCTGTCAAGAGCACTATTAAGATTGATGTTCATTTCTGTAAGACTGTTCTTAATGCCATCACTCCATATTTTCGGAGGTCTTCCGCTCGCTCTATACCCATTGTAATGTTTCGCTGTGGCAGATAGTATCAGGGCATTCTTTTTAGGTGTCCAAACCACCTTCATTTGTTGTTCTTTGATGACCTGTAAGACCGGCTTTATTCCTAGCATTGATTTGATTTCGTAAAACTAACACACCTCAAGGCATGAAATGGGTCTTTTATTTACAAGTCTTAGCTAATTTTGAACTACTGTGTTAAGGGATCTCCATGGTTAGGCTGTTTGCTGTGTGCTGTGAAGTTTATAGGTTCATTTCTGGACTTTGTTACGTTTATCAGGGCAAATGTTATGGAGATCCTTGGGTTCACTGAAGCTTCCCCGTGTGGGTTTCAGGGCCCCAAGTTGATAAAAACAAGAACTGCCTCCCCAACAAGCAGGTTGTAGGAGTCGACTAATTGGGAACATCCTTTGAAGTCAGAGTACTTCTGCCTGAGAGGAATGGAACTACAAGTCTGCATACAAATAAGCCAGATCTGTGAGTCGGCGTCTGTGGCTTAACCGTTGCGAACGCGTTTCGTAATATCGGGGTGCCGGATTTGATCCCTGCTGCGGACGGTTTGTCTTGCTAAGGTTTCGACCGTGGTACAGAGAGCCGACCGTCCAGAAAGCATGGGCAAACTACTGGACGTAAATTTGCCTAGAAAAACCACAACAGCCAGAAAGTGCTGGTGTTGATTCTGCAACGTCCTGTGAAGGATACGCAACTAATTAGCACAGATCGGTGAAACAGATCTGCACATAACACTCAGGTTCTGGGAAAAAAAACTGAACTCAGAAAGTGGACGAAGACCCAGAGCTTCCTGCCAGTGAACTAACAAATGAACGAATCCCTGGAGCTCTATAGGGTAAAAAAAACCAGGAGCTGATCCTGTTACTTTTTGGCACAAGAGGACAGTTAACCCTCTCACTCAGAGAAAGCTGTTTTTCTGGCTTCTACAGATTCTGGTTCAGGTGATGTCTTAAGACAGTGCCCAGTATGTCTGTATGATGGCTTTGGTACTTGCTGCATCTGCACAGACATGGTGGGTATATTTTACCCCAGGATGAAAAAAGAAGACAGTTTAGATATTATGTTATCGTAATCGATGCCACACATATTAGGCACTCCCATGCACGCTCAGTCCTCCAATGCAGCAGCCACTTCATGGTATTGCTACTAACTGTTCCCATGAGAGGTTGGTTATAGTGTCTCCTATTTCAGCTTTGAAAGTGGCATAGACTTGCTTCACAACGATTTACTTCCATGTCACGCAGTCGTGTTACTATCAGAAATTCTCCCATAACGCAATTGCGTGGCATGGGAGTAAAGTCTGAAATTAAAATTTTTTTTAAAAATTGTGGATTCACTGTGACGTCATACAATGTCATTACTATATCACATTGGTGTCTGTTGGCAAAGTGGCCGAAACTACTTATAAATTGCCAAAGTGAAAGACATCAGGTAATTCTATGCTCTGTTTTTGTGTACAGTCCAAACTTTACAGGGCAGTTACTAAATTACAACTTACAGTGAAGTTCACACTAGAGAGGACACTGCAGATAATCTATTTCAAGGGAACGAAAGAAGAAAAAAAAAGGAAGATATGCATAGCGATTTCTTCCCTTTTTGCAGAAAAAAATTTTTTTTTTTCCTAATACAGACATTCAGTGAATTTTGTGTGTGGCATGACGCAATCAAAGAAAGAGAAAACTTAATTATGCTTGCTTGTCTTCTCAGTTGTCTCGGAGTTTGACAGCCTAATCATTTATAAAAACTGACCAGAACTTACATATCTTCTGCTTCTTCTAGCTTTTAAGGGCAGAGTTTCCAAAAATTAAAAAGATGTTTTGAAAAAAAAAAAAAAAAATGAAATGTTAAATTTGATAAAAGTCATTGTCTTAAGATTCTTATGAGGTGAAAATGTCAAAATAAGTTATAAATCATTGCAAGATGCGTTCCTTAGCCACATAACTAAAAAGCAAGCATCTGACCAGAATTTAAATCATTCATTTAAGTTACGGAAAGGTTAAGGTTTCAAGCACTGAGCATGCATGACATGGTTTTAAATAACGGCAATCATCAGAGAGAAAAAAGCATCATTTTATATAAGTGAATTTACATTTTTCTGGTAAATTTAACTTGTTTAGTTCCAAGTTGTATTAAGGGCTAAACCTACATTTTATAGACCAATCGGCATTCAGTGGGTGATATGGTCAGCACCATGCCGACGGCCTTTACTTCCCAGGACTTTACCTGGTAACCATTTAAGGCCAGAGTTGACCTGAGAGCCAAGGTCATTAAAAAAAAATATTCATGATGCGGATTCAAGCCAAAGATCTTCAGATCCGCAGCCGAGCTTGACATTCTAACAGGCCAGAGTTGACCTAAGAGCCGAGGTCATTAAAAAAAATATATTCATGATGCGGATTCAAGCCAAAGATCTTCAGATCCGCAGCCGAGCTTGACTTTCTAACAGCTTGTTTACGACCTAAGTTTCGGCACCATACAGTAGGTTCAGAGTATATACAACAGTGAAATATAACAAGCCAATAAAAATTGGGCTGTGTATAACAAATAAATAAATGAGCAAGCAATTAATATTTAGTTTAGTGCAATAGATCAAACATACATGCAGCGAGGAGTCATTGTGCAAAGCAGAGCTCTCATATGCCACACATTTGCTAGCTACATCAGGCACAAGCGCAGCACTGGACGAGGCTGCCTTTTGGTCACTGGCTAATTTTACCTCCCGGCCATGTTGGCAGCACTCAGCGATTTGCTTGGCAAGATTTTGCGCTGAATAGTGAGCGTACAGGAGAACAACATCTTCTTTATGTGAGTGCCTTATGTCCATTGTGTACATCTGAACTCTTGTTTTCTTTTAATTCAGAAGATTCTGAAAAATATTAATAACATTAGAATTGTTCCATTAACAGAAAAATCATTTGCAGCAACAGAATAAAACAAAATAATATTCTCACTCCTGCCCACACATGATAACAGAGGACATCAGGATTTCTCTAAGGATATCCTCTATGTCAGTGGTTCTCAACCTGCCTAATGCCACGACCCTTAAATACAGTTCCTAATGTTATGGTGACCACCCAACCATCAAATTATTCTCATTACTACTTCACAACATGAACATGTGTTTTCCAATGGTCTTAGGTGACCCCTGTGAAAGGGTTAACATAAAATTAACAGAAAAATCATTTGAAGCAACAGAATAAAACAAAACAAAATATATTTTCACTCCTTGCCCACACATGTTAACAAAGGACATCAAGATTTCCCTAAGAATATCCTCTATGGCAGTGGTTCTTAACCTTCCTAACGCGACGACTCTTTAATGTAGTTTCTCATATTGTGGTAACACCCCCAATCATAAAATTATTTTCGTTGCTACTTCATAATTTCAGTGAACATGTGTTTTTCCGATGGTCTTAGGCAACTCCTGTGAAAGAGTCATTCAACCAACAAAAAGTTGTGCCCACAGCTTGAGAACCGTTGCTTTACGGTGATATCCTCTATTTTGAACTACAGGCAGGTAGAAGTCTAAATTCTTTCAATACCATGGACTAAAAAAGAAGGAACACACTGAGATCCGGCAGGATGTGAGCATCAAGGAGAACTGGCTCATAAACAGCATCCTGTCCCGAAAACTTAAGTATTTTGGCAAGGTTAAAAAAACACCCGGGTGGTTTGAAAAGACCAGTGATGAAGGGCACAGATTCTGGGAAATGAGGCAGAGGCAGATCTCCACAAATGTTGATGATACAAGACACCACAGATGCACTGGCTGTGAAATCACATAAGGCTGGAGAACAAGAGAGAAAGAGAGACTTTCAGACACTGCTGTGATGATAGTGAAATTCTGCAAAGGACTTGCTGAATGATGATGATGATGAGAAGATTGTCTAGCACAGCCTCTACCATAATATTACGATATACCTAAGCAGGACATGAATGATACAGATACTATAGTGGATTCACCAATTGGTAGTGAATTGATGTATGACAAGCTAGATGTTGTGACAGCCCTTAGAGAGCGAGTGAACAGAACAGATCATTAGGTCTGAGGAGAATGGCACTGCAGAGAGTTACCAGGGGTCTGGCCGACGCTCAACACTCAGGGGAAAGACAAGATGAATAAACAATCAGAGAGTTACTGGTGCCATCAGAATCTGAACTCTTTGCTTGCTGTTGAAGATGGGGACGGAGCACTTGTGGGGTGTCCTGAGTGCTATGATGTCGATTCCTAATTCAACATTCAAGTGGATTCATGCAAACAGGATATCATGGACCATGTAGCAAAGGGTCAGAAAAACCAGGAAGAAAATTGGGATACAGGAGAACATTTTTGCAGATAGGTTAAGAGCTGATGGGCGTCTGAGGAGAAGCACGCTAAAGACATGAGGTGGCAAAAATGCTACTGAAATCTCATGTTCTAACTGTGGAAAACATTTCTTAACTCAAATGAGGCTTTCTAGTCACATTTGTCACTGCCATGGGTATATATACTTATACTTACTTACTTAGTCGCTCCTCTGCTACCCAGGGGTGTAGGGATTTCCCAGAGAGATCGCCAGACTTCTCTATCAGCAGTTTTCTTTCTGGCTGTGTTCCATTCCAGTCCTCATCAGTTAGGGACTGTCGGATGTTGTCTTTCCAGCAGACCCTGGGTCACCCTGGAGGTCTCGTTCTCTGATTCTTAGCATCCCATGGTGGCCGATTTTCTCCCATTCCGCAAACATGGCCAAACCATCATATTTGTGACTGATCCACTCGGCCTCCTTATAGCAAAATTTAACACTATTATCTGAAAAGACTTCTCCTGTGAGTTCCTGGACTCTCTTTTAGAGAACAAAGAATAGACCCACTATCCCCTACACTCATGTTGTAGGGTGACTTATTAGAGGTGTTGGCTATCCTCAAATAATGGTCCCAAATTATCGAGGCCGAAAATGGATTGGGGCTAAACTAGATGGACTCAGGAGCAGCAGATTTTCGGCCTCGATAATTTGGGTCCGTTATTCGTAGGATAGCCGAGGTGTTCCTTTAAAGTCAGAATGCATCTACATGAGAGTAAAGGAACCAAAAGTATGCATACACATAAGCCCAATCTATAAAACAGGTGGGCATGCAAAACAAGTTCTGGAACAAGACCATAAGTCCAGGAGCAGACAAACTAACTAGAACTTTCTGCTGGAGTTTACAACATGTTAAGGCTAGGAAGATCTGAAAAGACTGAAAGGTGCCGGCTATCCTCCAAATAATGGTCCCAAATTATTGAGGCCAAAAATATACCCTAACAGGACCACAGTTTACAAACATCAATTTTTAGACTTCGGACTGGACACTGTGGTCTTCGAGCACAATTGTACAGGATAGGCATAAAAGAATCTGCTGCCTGTGATTGTGGAGCAGAAAGACAGACCCCTGAGCACATACTGCAGTACTGCCCTTACCTCTCCCAGCAAAGACTGTGGATCTGGCCCAGGGGATCCACATTGTAAGAGAAGCTATGGGGGACCGGTGGCGACCTTAAACGCACAATCCTATTTTTGACCCAGACAGGACTCAATGTGTAGCATGACTGATGTCGAACGCAGAAAAAGAAGGGCCTCAGTCACATGTCAATTGCCGACTTCCGGGGACTATACCGCTGAATTGCGGACTTCCAGGGACTATACCGCCACTGCCGAGAGTTTCTCCCACGCCGCTACGCGTGCCACGGATTGGGGCTAAACTAGACGGCTGAGACTCACTAGCAAATAAAATGAAGGAAGCTGCAGGAGATGCGGTAGCTGCTGCTCGTGAGTTCCAGCCATCTAGTTTAGCCCAATCCACGCGAAGCGGCGTGGGACATACTCTCAGCGGTAGCAGAAGTAGCCAGAAGTGCGCAATTTAAGTAGCCAGAAGTCCATAATTGACATGTGACTGAAGCCCTGTTAGGGTATATTTTCGGCCTTGATAATTTGGGACCCTTATTCGGAGGATAGCCAAGGTGCCAATCACACCAGGACAGTACGTCAAGATTTTCATACCCAGTCCTTACAAACCCGAGTGGATCAGGATCAGTGAGTTAGGATGGTTTGAACATGTATGCAGAATGTGAGAAAATCGGACAGAATTATAAAGATATAATACAGATAACCATTAGCTATATTTCGTAATGGCATCTCCCATTTAGAGTGCGTCAGGTGGCAAGTCAAGAAAAGTGACCCACAAACAAATGTAGGTCTGAACTATCTCGGTATCTGATAACTTCAAAATGAAAGTCGGTCGCGAAACCAAAACCCACTTTTTTTAGAATAAGAAATAAACAAATAAATTATTTCTTTATAACTAAGCAAATAAGAACTCACATTTTAACACGTATAATTCGTCGAATAAAACAAGCATATAAAAATAAAATTATGAAAACCTAATGCGTTAGTCCTCTCCAACATGTTGTGTCGCCTATTTTACACAAAGTGCGACATGTGGTAATAAAAGTGCATTGGAGGATCTTCTATCTCAGTGACCATCACCATGTGATGTGAGACTTCAACTTCAAAACGAAAGTCGGTCGTGAAACTAAAACAATCAATTCCAAGAAGAAAACATCCAATTCAATTACCTATATATACCTTCATTAAGTAAATTCCTAAGAATACCAGTACCTGTTAATGTCGGAGAATGTTGTTAAAAGATGTAAAATCACAAGACAAACATGTGAAAGTGTGCAGCGTGCAAAGAAGCCAGCAGACGAGCAGACTCCATTCCCTGATAAGAAGCAGACTTTGTTTCTCAGGGTCAGTGTAAAGCTGGGAACGGACAATTACAAGGAACTAAACTCAGTTTAACATTGAGAAATACGGGATGTGCGCTTTTCAGCCCAACACATTAGATATAAAAATTAAACCTAAAATTGGTTTTATGCGACATGCTTGGAAATATTATGCTGTGACATCCGAATCTCTTTCACGGTGCGCCTCTTGTACGGCTGTCCCTAAGCCACGAAAACGGGCCATTCAAAGCAGCTCCGCCCAAAAATAGCAGTCGCCACTCTCTATATTACATAAATTGTGTAGAGTGTGTTTGTCAAAAAAAAAAAAAAACCGAAACAATTCCCGTTTAAGTTGATTCAGGCACCGATATCATAGCACCCGAGGCATTTCCATAAGCGCTCTCTTCCCATCTTTAGCAGCCAGAGTTACAATACAAATGATGCCATTAGCAGTCTGATTATATGACTATCGTACCTTTCCTCTGAGCATCCAGTATCATCCATATCCTCTAGTCACTCCTCCTTCATCACTCTGACCAGACTGTAATGGTCAGTTTGTTGATCTTGACTGTACATATGCTTCTATAAGGTCTTTACCAGGTCTGCCTCATAGTGCATCAGTATTCCACCAAGCCGTGCAGGGCCAGCCACTCTGCCCACCTGTTCATTTCCCAAAACACCGGCGTTCCCCGGAGAAAAAATCCAGATAATGATCTTTACCAGTGACCTCCGAAGCGAAGTTAAAGATCACTAGCTGCGAAAACGTAGTGGTCAGACTCTGACCTACCGACCCGATGGTCTTAGGTTCGAATCCGGATTTGAAAAAAAAAAAATGCTAATGGAAGTAGGATCTCTAAATACAATAATTAAAAAAAAAAGAGACAAACACTGTTCTTTGGTCACATAATGAGAAGAGAGATATTGGAGAACATCGTGACAACTGGAAAGATCAGCGGGGGGAAAAGGAGGTAGAGGCAGACAAAGAGATGATGCTGGATGGGCTAAAACGATGGCATGAAGGGGTATCACCGAGAGAGCTGTTTCAGGCAACCAGGGATCGTAATCTGTGGAGACGCATGAGC